GGCTTAACACGTCAGCATCTCGAAGCTCTGTTTTCAAAAAGGTTGTCGAAAACCTAAGAAGCAAAGCAATACGACTAGCTTTCCTCCACGACAGTCAGTTATGGAAAGACTTGAAGAAGCCAAAGAGCCTTCCAGAAAAGGAGAAAGACAACACCAGAAGTAGAAAAGATCGATCGTCTGGCAGAAAAAGATGACGTTCGAAGTTCCATTCCTTCAAGAATGAAGCGCCAAGCAATTTTGGAGGTTAACACAGTTGGATCACTAAAAGTGAAAACGCGTACCATCATCCACACTGGACAATCTTTATGCTAAACAAGTTCAAGAGGTCAACACCGAAGAAGATGCCCAAGACGTCTTCCACATCACAATCCAAGAAGGTAAAGAAGATGAAATCCTTGAGGAAGATGTCATTGCAGCGCCGTCACAGCTCGAAGATGGGGGGCAAGCCACAGTTGACGATCTCAAAAAACTCAACTTAGGCATAAGTAAGGAACCAAAGCCTATCTTCGTGAGTGCATTACTAAGTGCAGACGAGATAGAGAAGTATTACCAACTGCTATTAGAGTACAAGGACGTCTTTGCTTGGACCTACAAGGAAATGCCCGGCCTTGACCCTATCATTGCTGTGCATCATCTTGCAGTCAAGCCTGGAACGCGACCAATAAAGCAAACTCAAAGACGTTATCGATCCGAGCTCATCCCACAAATCGAGGCCGAGATTGACAAGTTAATCGAAGCAGGCTTCATTCGAGAGGTGCAATACCCCAAGTGGATCTCTAACATCGTCATAGTTCTTAAGAAATCTGGACAAATACGTGTTTGCGTAGACTTCCAAGACCTCAATGATGCTTGCCCAAAGGATGACTTCCCCTTGCCAATCATTGAAATCATGGTGGACGCGACCACTGGCCATGAAGCACTATCATTCATGGACGGCTCTTCTGGATACAATCAAATTCGTATGGCTCTTGAAGATGAGGAACTAACAGCCTTCCGCACTCCAAAATGTATCTACTGCTACAAGGTGATGCCCTTTGGTCTGAAGAATGCTGGAGCTACATATCAACGCGCAATGCAGAAGATCTTTAATGACATGTTACACAAAAACGTAGAATGCTATGTAGACGATGTGGTGGTCAAGACAAAGAAAAGACCAGATCACTTGAAGGATTTGCGAGTAATGTTCGAAAGGTTGCGAAAATACAACCTGAAGATGAACCCGTTAAAGTGTGCATTTGGCGTCACATCTGGAAAGTTCCTTGGCTTCATTGTCAAGCATCGTGGCATTGAAGTGGACCAATCAAAGATCAAGGCCATTCAAAGCATGCCTGAGCTAAGAAACCTGCACGAGTTGAAAAGTCTACAAGGACGGCTAGCCTTCATTAGACGCTTCATCTCCAACCTTGCAGGGCGTTGTCAACCGTTCAGTCAACTCATGAAGAAAGATGTTCGTTTATATGGGACAAAGCATGCAACAATGCTTTTGAAAGCATAAAAAAGAAGTATTTATCAAGTCCACCTGTTCTGGGGGCACCTGTACCAGGGAAACCGCTCATATTGTACATCGCTGCTCAGGAAAGTTCAGTTGGAGCACTCTTGGCACAGGAAAAACGAATCCCATAAAGAATGAGCGCTCTACTACCTTAGTCGAACGCTTCACCGGCGCTGAGTTGAACTACTTCCTAATAGAAAAAATATGCCTTGCCTGGATGTTTGCCATCCAGAAGCTCAGACATTACATGCATGCTTACACCATCCACTTGGTTGCTAAAGCTGACCCGGTCAAATACGTCATGTCCAAGCCAGTTTTGACAGGAGTGACTAGCTAAATGGACATTGCTTCTCAATCAATACGAGATCATCTACGTCACAGCTAAAGCCGTCAAGGGACAAGCACTAGCAGACTTCCTTGTCGACCATCTAATCCCAACTGATTGGAAAATCTCAGACGACTTGCCTGACGAGGAGGTGTTCTACATCGACATATTCCCGACATGGACGATGTTCTTCGATGGATCTGCATGAGCAGACGGAGCGGGGGCAGGAGTAGTATTCATGTTGCCACAAAGGCAAATACTACCTTATTCATTCCAACTAAGCGAATTATGCTCCAACAACGTCGCTGAGTACTAAGCACTGATCATCGGGCTCCAAATGGCGATCAACATGGAAATCATAGCCCTTGAGATATACGGCGACTCCAAGCTCATAATCAATCAACTCCTGACTGAATATGAGGTGAGGAAAAATGATCTCGTCCCATATTTCCGGCTGGCAACGCAATTGCTACAAAGGTTCGAGGCCGTAACACTAGAACATGTGCCAAGAAAAGAGAATCAAATGGCAGACGCTCTTGCCAACCTAGCCTCGAGCATGACATTAGGAGAAGACGAAGCTGTAAACGTGCCAGTCTGCCAAAGATGGGTAATCCCGATTGTCACTGAAATGGTACTGAGTGATACAAACGTTATTTTAATACTTCCGGTCAACGTTGAAGAATGGAGACAACCTCTGATCAACTACTTGGAGCATGGAATACTTCCAGATGATCCAAAACACCGCTCTGAAGTACGTCGACGAGCACATCGCTTCTTCTATTACAAATGGACACTTTACTGGCGATCTTTCGAATGAGTACTTCTGAAATGCCTAGGCGAGGAAGAAGCCAATCAAGCCATGGAAGAAGCACACTCAGGAATATGTGGGGCGCATCAGTCCGGACTGAAGCTTCATTTCCAGCTCAAAAGAATAGGTTACTATTGGCCTAGCATGGTAAAAGACTGCCTAGAACATGCCAAAAGGTGCCAAGCCTGCCAATTTCACGCTAACTTCATACATCAATCGCCTGAACCATTACACCCCACAGCTACTTCATGGCCATTCGATGCATGGGGATTGGACGTCGTAGGACCAATTGCGCCAAAGTTATCTGCAGGAGAAGCTTACATCCTGGCTGCAACAGATTACTTCTCTAAGTGGGTTGAAGCCATACCCCTGAAAGAAGTCAAGAAGGAAACTGTCGTCCGTTTCATCAAGGAACATATCATCCACCGATATGGTGTGCCTCGCTACATTATCACTGACAACGGAAAACAGTTCTCCAACTGACTCGTGGACGAACTCTGCGAGAAATACAAGTTCAAGCAACACAAATCCTCCATGTATCATGCTCCGGCCAACGGTCTTGCAGAAGCATTCAACAAGACATTGTGCAACCTCCTGAAGAAGGTAATCGGCAGAACAAAGAAAAACTGGCATGAAAGAAAAGGCGAAGCACTTTGGGCATAAATGACGACATATAAAACACCTACCCAAGCTACACCCTATTCTCTCGTATATAGCGTGGAAGCTGTTCTACCGCTCGAAAGTCAAATCCCCTCGCTAAGGATGGCTATACAAGAAGGCTTGACTGACGAAAAGAATGCAAAGTTGCGCCTTCAAGAGCTGGAAACACTGGATGAGAAAATACTCGAAGCCCAGCAACACTTGGAGTGTTATCAAGCACGACTTTCCAAGGCCTTCAACAAGAAAGTTCTCCCTCGTTCTTTTCAAATGGGAGATCTCGTCCTCGCGTTGCGTAGACCTATCATCACAACTCATAAGACAAAAAGCAAGTTCACATCAAAGTGGGATGGACCATACATAATACAAGAGGTCTACACCAACGGCGCCTACTTAATCATGGCAGAAGACAGCTTGAAGATCGTCCCTATCAATGGAAGATTCTTGAAGCACTACTACCCCTAAAAGGCGACAACCAACACTCTTTGTTCGCACGAGCGGCCTAAACTGCATGAACCAAAGCTCCTAGCCCGCAAGAGCATAAACTGTGTACAGCAAAATCATCATCAAAATCACTGTTAAATTCTTCACTCATTTGAACTACATTATGACTTGATCTCTTCTTTGGAAGAGTACGTAGGCAACTTGAAACTTCAAAACTTCAAGTACAGTCACATCATCATAAAAAACACAAACACTTTGAAGAATAAAAAGCAAATTCAAAATATGAATACTTTATTTCTTTAAAGGAATGATTTGGTTACAAAGCCGTATTACAAAGGTGAGCATTACGCCAACGTCACCACCGAGGAAAGTTGTGACCAAAAGGCACCACACAACATAAACTCACTGCAGTCTTTTGCATAACCCCACAAGGTAAAGGTGACGCACTAGAACAAGCTCCAAGCAGCAGCGGCAAAAGAGCCTATGGCAAGCAGCAAGGTCAGTGTGCACGACAACGTCCCCCACCGAGGAAAGTTGTAACCAAAATGGCACTACACAGCATAAACTTGCTGCAGCTTTTTGCACAACCTTACAAGGTAAAGGTGACGCACTGGAACAAGCTCCAAGCCGCATCGGCAAAGAGGGCAGCTATAAGACGATCCTTCAAAGCACGATACAGTAGCAAAGAAACCAAAATGCCACGCAATCGCATTACGCAACCCCGCAGCGATTATGCAAGCAGTTTTCTTACATCGCATGGTGACGTCACCACCAAGGGAAAACTGTGACCAAAAAGGCATTACACAGTGAAGGCCCACTGCAGCCTTTTGCACAGCACCATACGGCAGCGCACCACCGAGGGAAAACTGTGATCAAAAGGCACTACACAGCGAAACCCCGTTGCAGTCTCTTGCACAAACCCTAGGCAGCAGAAAGCACAGATATGCCCACATCTTGCTCACTCCAAATACCACGTCTCTGAAAGCTTCATGAGGGTTCCAACATCATGCTCTGCCTTCTCCAAAATTAAAGATTCCTAGCATCACATCAAAAATTAAAAAAAAATTAAAAAAAAAAAGGGGCTTTATTAAAGTCTAATTGATGAAGGTCAATTTTATTACAAATTTATTTGCAATTTTCTTTGTACAAAATTAAATTACAGTTTCTTTGAAAAAAAAAAAAAGAATACATATATTATTATGTATTTTAAAAAATAATAATTAAAAAAAAGTATATATATGTATGTATATGTATATGTACAGGCCCAGGCCCGGCTCTTAAAACCCAATCCACTCAACTTGCTTGCAAGGCCACAGTTGCCAAAAGCCCTATTCCAGGCACAAATAATGCTTGGAATGGTGAGCCCACAAATGTTGCAGATACCAAATATCAGGCAAGCTTCAGGTCATACCTCACAGCCTCCATTCAACGAGGCCTTGCAGTCTGGGTTGGTGCCCAATGTGCAAGAAGGCCAATTTTTTGCTATGCATCAAAATCCATTGGTTAGAAGCAAGTTTCTCCACCCCAACCGCAATAAATGCAGCATTCAAACTGAAACCACAAGCAGCAGCGTTACTCGACGGAGCTGCAGCAGGAGCAGGCGGCGATGGAAATCAGGCTCCTCGCCAAGAACAAGTCCGAAATGGCACGATTAAGCCATTGATTTCGCTCCTATCGTCGTCTGATCTCCAGCTCCAGGAGTACGGCGTTACTGTGATTCTCAACTTCTCGCTGTGCGACGAGAATAAGGAGCTCATCGCTTCGTCAGGAGTAATCAAGCCACTCGTTCGGTCGCTCAAGACGGGGACCGCCACAACGAAAGAGAACACCGCCTGCGCTCTGCTCCGCCTCTCGCAAATCGAAGAGGACAAAGACGCAATCGGACGATCGGGAGTGATTCCGCTTCTGGTGAACCTTCTAGAGTGTGGAGGCTTTCGTGGGAAGAATGACGCGTCGACGACTTTGTACTCGCTTTGCTCGGTCAAAGAGAACAATATTAGAGCCGTCGAGTCGGGAATCATGAAGCCGCTGGTGGAATTGATGGCGGACTTCGGGTCGAACATGGTGGACAAGTCGACGTACGTGCTGAGCGTCCTTGTGTCGGTGCCGGAGGCCCGCGCAACGTTGGTGAAGGAAGCCGAGATTCCGGTGCTGGTGGAAATTGTAAAGGTGGGGTCGCAGCGGCAGAATGAGATATCGGTGGTGATATTACTGAAGCTTTGCGAGAACAGTGGGGTCCACCGTAACATGGTGGTCTGCAACGACGCCAATCGCGCCAAGCAAAAGGCGGAGACATTGACAAAGCTTTTACGGCAACCGAGGTCCGGCAACGGCGCTGCACGACCGTCAGACGTGTCATTATAACTCGCTCCACGTCACCACCGTGGGCCCACCACCTAGCTACGTTCCCAGATATAGCAATGGCCATGTAATCAAACACTGAAAGAGTAAAAAACAAACAAAAAAAAAGGAAGAAAAATCTAAAACTTGTAAGTATCTATGTTAGGAGAGGATTGTAAAACTTGTGATAAAGGTGTTGAATTGAGCTGAGTTTGGTTAGCCTTTTTGGAGCTTAAAAAAAAATATTCTTACAAGCACAGAGGAAAGTTAGTGTGATGGCCTGGATCTCAGGTGCAGTACTTGTAGAACATGCATTTCTCAGTTGGTTGCTGATGATTAAGCTCGTTGGGGGAGTATAGGGTGTCTTGAGAGATTCCTTCAAAGTTCATCCTTGCCGTCTCCGCCACAACGGATACACTTGAAAATTGGGAGGATCGACGAGAGGCTGGGGTCGTCTAAGCTTGTGCGACTCGGTTGAGTTGCTGAACACGTTGAAGATCCTCCACTACATCTGCACGTTCGCCCTCTCTGCCCATCTTCCACCACAGCGCCTGGCCTCCATCGAGCTTGTCACCATGACCACCATGATAGCAAAGAACTTCAACGACCGTCGTCAAACAACTAGCCAATCGTGAAGCTCGAAGCACCATCTTCTCGGCCTCCTTGCTCCGCTCCCTGCAAATCCCTCAGCCAAGCATCCTAATTTATACAGAAAGAAATACAATAAAAAAAGGGTGGTGGAATCTTGGTGGTGCTGCACCAATCTGAAAAGCATATAAAATAAATAAAAAAAAAAATGATGATGGTGCATCTGGCACCATGTGACAAAAGAAAAAGGAAAAAAAAAGAAAAAAAAGAGAGAAGTGGTGGGTGCATCCATCATCGAAAAAAAAAATAGAGAAAATAAAGAGAAAAAAATAAATAAAAAGGAAGTGGTGGTGCATCTGGCACCATGAGTATATATATATATATATATATATATATAATGCATTTAGTAAAGCCCATCTTTTATTTATTTCACTAAAACTTTTTTACATAAATTCGCATTCCACATACCATAAAAAAAACAAAAAAAAGAAACAAATCAAATTTACAGGAGGGGATCTTCAAGGTTGATCAGATGGCGCCTCAGTACTTGGCGGAGCCCCAGATCGGAGAGGCACCAAAGGGTGATTATTCAGAGTCTCATCACTCGGCAGAACCCCAGGAGGAGGAGGCACCGAAAGTTGATCATTTGGAGCTTCATTACGCGGTACAGCCCCAAAAGACGAAGGCAAATGCTGTTAGAATAAACCCACAAACCTCCGATGATCAAGTAAAATCTGACCATCATATTCCTGCATCTGGTCAATCTTTCTCTTCATGTTTGTAGCATAGTTATGTGCAAGCCGGTGCAACTGTTTATTCTCATGCTTGAGCCCTCTAATCTCCTGTTTAAGACTCATCACTTCAGCCGCCAATGATTCAACTTGACGGGTTCGAGCAAATAGGCGTTGGGCCATATTAGACACAGAACCTGCACACTGCACACTGAGAGCCAGAGAATCCTTAACAGCCAACTCATCAGACCGTTTGGAAAGTAGTATGTTATCTTTGAGAGTGACAAGGTTCCGGGCCACCACCGCAGCGGTCATATCATTCTTCATCATCGAATCCCCAACGGTAAGATGACCAGTAGGGGATATGAAGGATGGGCGCCATATGTTGTCTGGAGAAGGCGGAACTGCTTCTTCACCAAGGTTCAAATCAAAACGACGGTCGGACGGTCCAAAAATTTTCAAAGGTGTTGAAGAAAGAAGAGGTCAGACAAATCAAGATCTTAGAAGTGCAAGAAAGGAGTTTCTACAAGCGAAAATTCAAGTGTGTTTTGAAACGAACTGCGTGCCTCTATAAAAATCAGCACTAGACGGGATTTCAGAGATTGAAGAGGCGAGCTCAGAATTTGAAAAGGCCAATTCAAAAATTGAAAAGGCAAGCTCAGAAATCGGAGAGGCATCTTGCTTTTCCAAACGCGTTAGCACCCGTCACACGTAAACTCAGCTTTGCGGAAATCACGGGTAATTTGTCGAAGCGCCGATCCCAGATATCGAAGAGGCGCCAGTCTTTTTCAGCCTCGTCAACACCTGTCACATGCACATTCAGCTTGGCGGAAATTACGGACAATTTGTCGAAGATTTTTGATAAAGAAGAAAGCACGTGAAGCCATACTGATCAATCACGCATTGGTTGCCGACACGAGTGAAAAAATAATACCTCTACATGTATTAAAAGACTTCCTATAACTGTCCACCTTCACCCTCCATAGCAAGGCAGACATACAAAACCTTTCTTCATCTCCGAGAACCTTTCTTCATCTTCGAGAACCTTTCTTCATCTCCGAGAATGCCTTCCCAACGAAGCCTCTCGAGTCACTCAGTGTTTCTTATTCCTTGGGGTACCTCTGCAAACAAATGACACCAAAGCAAAAGTATCTTATATCACCAGGGTAGAAAGCAGGAGTATCTCATATCATGCTTTCTCCCCGTCATTTCATTTGTCCTTGTTCTTACCTGCAAAGATAAGGATAAAAAAACAATATGTCGGAACCTCCACTCAAACTCGGGTAAGGAATCGACTACCTGGAACCTTTGCCTGGTTGCTTACATGGTATTACTCTCGAGTACTCGTTTTCCACTGCTGTTGTACTTCTAAAGAAGCTGCCATATCTGCCTGGAGAACAGATAAGGCAAGTGAAAATGATCCCTTGCAGCATGTGGAGACAACGTGCAGAAGGAACAAGCAGAGAAGAATGCGGTCTGCACAGTCAACTCAGCAGAAGGAGTCCGAGTTGAGGAACTCAAGAAGCTGCCACATCTGCCTGAAGAAACAAGCAGAGAAGAATGCAGCCTGCACAATCAACTTAGCAGAATGAGTCTAAACTGAGGAACTCGATAAGATGCCACATTTTGCCAGAAGAATAGATAAGGCAAGGGAAAATGATACATTGAAGCATGTGGAGACAAGCACAACAAAGCACGTGCTGATTCATCCGCTACTTCTTCAAAATCAAAAGTATCTCATATCATCAGGGTTGCAATCACTATGGGTGGAGGACTCGTTTTGACCCTCAAATTCTTGGGTCGACTCACTAGGCGTTGTGGGCTGCACGTGTCGATTCACCACCTTTGAATCAAATCCTTAAAGATCAAATCACCAACTGGAAGAAGAGCCCATCAAACTTGAAGATCATACCGTTGACCAAACTGCTCAGGTGTGAATTAGAAAGATTGAACAAAGCAACAAGTCATCACCTTCCCCTCGTGCCTACTTGCCATATGTTCGAGTCAACCTTCAAGAATCAAGCCTCAACGGCCCTTGAAGAACCTTCCAGCCAAATTCAAAATCAAGCCTCGACGGCCCTGGAAGAAATCACAAGTCCGATTCAAGATCAAGAATCCACCACCCTTGAATCAAATCCAGTTCAAGAATAAGCTGTGGAAAGTCAACAAGCGCAAAAAAAAAAAATACGTGCCAATTCATCCACTACCAAAGCCAAAGATCATCTACCACCTGAAGCTCCTTGTGGTCCAATTTCAACCTTCAAGATCAAGCCTCGACGGCTCTTGAAGAAATCTCAAGCCCAATTCAAGATCAAGCCTCAACGGCCTTTGAAGAAATCTCCAGCCCAATTCAAGATCAAGCCTCGACGGCCCTTGGATCGACATCTACATTAAAGGACTTCAAAACACATCTCCTACACGCGACAAGCACATGTATACGACGCACCTTGAAGTGTGGGCATTTGTAGACATCGAAATTTCAGTGAAATAAATGTTGACCAATAGTTACAATTTCAACGTTTATGTATTACATAAATTTTACACGTAGCGTGTGACTCGACGAAAAATTGAAATGAGGCAGAAAATGCATCAAATATGACACGTGTCAACACCTGGCAGAGATGATCTATTTCATCTGGAATATTATACTCAAATTAGGCCTTGGAAAATTCTATAAATAAAAGCCAATTTCATTCATTTGAGGGGACCAATTTTCATATTACACCTTAAAGCTCTGAAGCTCTGAAACTCCGAAGCTCTCAAGCATCCAGGTTCCCGAAGAATCAAGAAAGCCTTCTTCATTCTTCGTTCATCGTTCCTCAAGATCAAGCCCCGACGGCCATTGAAGAAAGCGTTCTTCGTTCATCGTTCTTCCAAGATCAAGCCCCGACGGCCCTTGGATCAACAATCATCCATCTTCAAGATCAAGCCCAAAAGCCCTTGAAGATCCGTTCATCACTGTTCTTCAAGATCAAGCCCAAAAGCCTTTGAAGATCCGTTCATCACCGTTATTCAAGATCAAGCCTCAACAGCCCTTGAAGAAACGCTCATCCTCAAGATCAAGCCCCAACGGCTCCTTGAAGATCCGCTCAAATCCACCTTCAAGATCAAGCCCACGGCCCTTGAAGAACGTTCATCCTTAGATCAAGCCCAACGGCCCTTTGGATCAATTGCACATCTACAAATACACACCTTACGGAGATCGAATCAAATGATCAAATTTGAAAGAGATTGTAACCCTAAATCATCAAAATACAAAATATTATTTTGTGCATGTTGTTCTTATCTCTTTCGTTTCAGGAAAATTTCGTGTTTACAGATACATAAACTGCAAAATATAATGACATATAGATTATAAAGTTTTAGAACATAATGATTAATGAAAACGTAAGGAACATGCATATAGTGTGTGTTCCCATAAGTATTTAACAAGTCTCTTACAATTTATTAAAAAAAAATAATACAAAATGTAAGTTATCTATTTTTTGTTTAAGTGGGAGTCGCGACCTAGGCGCGTACCTAGCGGGTTTAGGAGGCCTAGGCGGTTAGGCGGGCGCCTAGATAGTTTAGGTGGGTGCCTAGGCTGTTTAGGCGGGTGCCTAAGCATGTCTAGCGCATTTTCTTAATTTTCAAACGCCTAAGGATTAATCGGAGAGGTGGCCAGCTGCTTAACGCCTAGGCGGAGATTTTTAGAACAATACTAATTGTATATATCTTGTAAGAATATAGTAAACAAAACCAGGAATTTAAAGTGATGGGGTCAAAAAGTAGCTTTAAAAAATCGATCATA